AAAAAAAAAAAAAAAAAAAAAAAAAAAAAAAAAAAAATGTGGGATAAAGTAATTCAAAAAAATGAAAGGGACATAGTGATCTGATTGGAGCTATGGACAGCTGCAATTTTGAAAGGTTTTGAATGCCACCCTAAATAATTTTAAATGTATTTTGGAGCCAATAGAGGTCACTGAGTATTTCTGAGGGAAGAGTGACCAGGGATTGCATAAGCTGTCTTTTAAGAAGCAGTATGGAGGGGAGTGACTGGAAGGGGGACAGATTGAGGGAAGCAAGTCCAGTTTGGAAGCCATTGCTATATTGCAAATAAGGGAGAAGCACCACATTTAGCATGGAGACTGCGGGAAGGAAAAAGGGGAGAAGTAAACTGAGACGCTGAAAAAGCAGAATCTGTACTTAAGAGGACGTGTTAGGTAGGAAATGTTAGAACCATTAATATAAACTTAACATTCCCTTAAAGGAAACAACCAGAGTTTACCAATAAAAATAAGACCACCAAGTGAGAAACTGTACCAAATTTCATCTTTAACTATCAAAGCTGAATGTTGACTGAAAACCAAAAACTCTGATTCCATTTTCAAAGACTGCATGTAATAGAACATAATAAAAGAGTCAGTCTTGCTACTATAAAGTAATGACATGTAAGCGGTTGGCCAAGCAAGGCCCATTTCAACATTCAGTATCATTTTTTAATTCATTTGAACCAGCGTTCCTGAAAGGTGGTTAGTTGATTAAATAAATACTATGAAAATCCTCCCTCCCTCGGCACTCAGAACCCTCCCCCCAGCACACGAGCGCGCGCGCGCACACATCTCCGGATAGAAATCTCACCCAGCTTCGGACAGCCCCTGCCTGTGCGCTACTAGCCTTACCAAGGACAGCCCTTCCATCTCTTGAAGTCCCTACGAGTGCACGGTCCTCGTCTGGTGGATCGGCGCCTACCGCAGGGCTACTCTCGGAGCGGGAGCTCAAGGGACCTTCACGGAAGGAATGACGGCCAGCCAGGCCCACCGGCCACTGGGCTCCACACGCCCCAGGCTCGGAGGCACACAGTGCCGTTTTCATTCGCTTGACACACCCCTTTCCTCGGGCCCTTTCCTCCTCCACCCAACACATTCTGCACGTCGTCCCTCGGAGGTACAACGTGTCACTTCATCCGCTCCCCCCCCACCCATGCTTATCTCGACACCGTCCCCTTCACTCGGACGGACTTTCCATCAGGCCCCGCACACCTTTTCCTCCTCCTCCCCGGAGCTGCGCCGCCCGCCCGCACGCCACCGGCCGCCTCTAGCGCTCCCGCCGGCCGCTGCAGCAGCCTGCTGCCCTACGCCCGCCTCCCCCCAGGGGCGCCCCACGCTCACCTTCCGCGCAGCTCCACCGGCTGCGCGCACCCCGGGCGGCGACTCAGCTCCGCCCGGCACCCGAGGCTGGCCAGCCCGCTGGGTACCCCGCGACCCTTGACGCCCTGGGCCGCCGGCTCCAGCCGCCTTCGCCGCCGCGAGCCTGGTGCGGCCCAGGCGTTTCCGGGTTCCCGCGGTCCCGTCCCCCAAATGCTCCGGCTTCCGCCTCGGCCCGGGCAAACGCGGTTCCCGGCTCGGCTCCGGCGGCCCCAGCTTGGCGCTTGCCAGCTCTGTCCCCAAAGGCGAGGCACCTAGGCGGCTCGGCGGGCAGCCCCCGGTGTAGCCTTCACCGTCGCGTTGCCGCCTGGGGCACTGCCTCCTGCTAGTTATGTCCCGGGTGGAAGAGTAAGACCGAGTGGCTCCCGCCGCGGGCTTCTGCGGGGCTGTCCGGTCGTGCTGGGTGCCAGGGTGTCCGACTGCGAAAAGAAAGGCAAAGTCCTTTGGGCAAAGGACCCTAAGAGGGAGTGAAGAGGCGGATCCAGGAAACAACCCCAACTAGAAATAGTTGTTACTGTCCCTGAAAACACCAAGATTAGCCCTGGCACAGGCTGCCAACCAGGAGTCCAAAAGAACGCTTCTTGAGTTGGAAATGACCACTTCTCCCATCCTGGCCGAGACCTTGAGTTTGAGGAGAGCCCCTTAATGCTATTAACCAGGGCAGGGGAAGGAACAACCAGCAAGAAAAAGCAAATGGGGCCAGAGGATCTCAGAGTTCTAAGAGACTTAACCCCTTCCTGGCTTCATGGATCCCTTAGGCAACACTAACTTTCCAAGGCCTTCTGATTTTTGTTGGAAACCCTCCAACCACCACAGCCCAGTCTGATGTAGGACAAGCTAAAATTATTATTCTAGGTCCAGTTTGATCATCAAATTGCATTTTAAGGTTTTCCCTTTCTTCTTACACAGTGCCGCTGTAAATGAAGCCTACATCTGTTTATATTGCACATGATTAAAACTACCTCCATAGAGACAGAGAGCAGGAAAATAAAATTAAATAACTGTGTTAGAAAAATAACTGGCTTTAAATTTTTTCGTGTGTTTTGACCTTGAGAAAACCCCTGGATGTGGAAATTTATATTAGATCTTAATGTTTGTCCAAATATTTTGGAAACAAAATATGGCTGGTATAATATAATAATAGCTAGGCACCATTCTAACATATCTATCTACTTTTTTAATTCAAAAATAGTAGGTATTCAGTAAATATGTGTGGTTGTAAGGGGAAAAAGATGAAATGTTTTAAAAATTAACCAGCAGCAAAAATATACCTTAAGACATGAAAACATTTTTTTTAGATTAAAGAAAGGCCTTCAATTCTCTCAGAAAGCTTTAAAATGAGAAAAATGAGAAGTGGAAGCACTTATAATTATAAAACAGTAACATGTGTTTTGACATCTGGGACAGGCATGAAATTGAAAATGATCAAAACTCTATACAAAAAAAAAAACAACAACAACTCTATACAAACAAAAGCAGTGATGAAAATAGAGAGCCAAATAAAAAAGAAAAAAAGAAAGAAAAAATAGAGGGCCAAATATATGAAACTCACAACTGCTGCGAAGTTATGCTCCCTAACACTGATGACCAAAAGAAAGTAATAACTTTCATTAGCCTTATCTAGGTTTACAATTTATACTCATAATACCTACTGAATTGCTTTGAGCTTCCCTGTGTATACCACCCATAGGACATTTTGCTATTTCTCATGCTGTTCACTAAGTGTAGAATATGTTTCTACTGTTTCCACATATATTTTTTTTATAGCAAGCCCATTCCACTTTCAATTCTCTGCTCAGGTATTAACACAAACTTGAAGGCTTTTCCAGCCTCCTTCCTCCCAGGGGTCTGATTTCCTTCTCTGAGGTCTCAGTGTCTTGAGGCGCTCTGGTCATACCTAGGTAATTTTACTTCATTGTACTGTGATCTGTTTTCATATCAATTCTTTCTGCCTAACACTTTCCTTGAGATCTGTGCTATCTCATTTATCTCCGGATCTTCAGTATTTAGCACACTGGTGAGCCCATGGTAGAAACTCAATACATATTTCCTAAACTGAACTGTTTTGGAATGATGTCAAAGACAAGCCAGACAGTACAAAAGTTTACCAGGGAAGAATGTGAGCAGAGCCTGAACTGCAAGTCTAGGCACCCAAACCTTCAAAACAGTTAAATCAGTACCCAACATCTAAAACTCTTCTAATAATAACAATTTAATAAGGATTGTCCCTTTGAGTAGCTTGCCTGTATCATCTCCTCTAACCTTCAGAACAGCCCTGTAAAGTAGGCATTTGTGTCTCTCTTTTACAGAAAGAGAAACTGAGGCTTAGTGACATTCAGTAACTTACTGAAGTTCCCAGACTTACTGAAAGATAAACTGGGATTCAAATCCTGATTTGTCTGCTTTGAAAGTCCATGCTCACTCTAAAACACTACATTTAGTTGTTATAGAAAGAAAAAGTGGTATAGGAAAAGAATGAGCCAGAATAGTAAAAAGGTGGCAGACAGCAAAAGTGGCAATAGAGTTAAGAAGTGTCAGTGAAGGGACGCCTGGGTGGCTCAGTCTGTTGAGTGTCTGCTGTCAGCTCAGGTCATGATCCTGGAGTCCTGGCATGGAGTCCCATATTGGACTCCTTGCTCAGTGGGGAGCCTGCTTCCCCCTTTGCTTCTCTCTCTCTCTCTCTCCCCCTCTCTCTGACAAATATATATATATATATATATATATATATATATATATATTTTTTTTTTTTTTTTTAAAGTGTCAGTGAAGAACAGAGATGGCCATGAAGGAAGGGAGAAAAACAGCAACCTAGGACAGAGGACTAGCTTTGGCGTCCCTATCATAACAGCTCTGAGAGGCAAAATTTTGGCTACTTAAAGACAGAAAAATTTGAACAACATATGGGCCTGAGGGTAGCCAGTCAAACAGGACTAGGTAACTCAATAGAACTTCATTAGTTGCCAAATGAAATACAGGACACTTAGTTAAATTTTAATTTCAAATAAACAATGAATAATTATTTAATATATGCAATATTGGGGATATACTTGTACTAAAATAATCATCAGTCTATCAAATTCAAATTTAGGGCACCTGGGTGGCTCAGTGGGTTAAGCCTCTGCCTTCGGCTCAGGTCATGATCTCAGGGTCCTGGGATGGAGTTCCACATCGGGCTTTCTGCTCAGCAGGGAGTCTGATTCCCCCTCTCTCTCTGCCTGCCTCTCTGCCTACTTGTGATTCCTCTCTGTCAAATAAATAAATCTTAAAAAAAAAAAAAAAGAAATTCAAATTTAACTGGGTATCCTATATTCTTATTTGTTAAATCTAAGAATCTGATTGAAAGCATGAGTGGTTCCCAGGGGTGCCCCACAGAAATTAAGACCACATCAAACTATATTTGGTGCTGTAGACACTGCAAGCATTATGCACACAAAGTGACAGTCCCCAGATCAATGTCTTTAGGAAGAGCTAGTAGTTTAGGGACTATTTTTCTTTTTGAGTTTATTTATGTACTTATTTAAGATTTTATTTATTTATTTGACAGAGAGAGAGAACACAGGCAGGGTGAGCAGGAGAGGGAGAAGGAGAAGGAGGCTCCCTGTTGGGGATCATGACCTGAGCCAAAGGCAGACACTTAACCAACTGAGTCACCCAGGCGACCCTATTTATTTTTTTTTTTTAGTAATTTCTACACCTACCATGGGGCTCAAACTCATGAGCGCAAGATCGAGAGTTATGTGCTCTTCCCACTGAGCCAGCGAGGCATCCTGATAAGACTCAGTAGGGAAAAAAGGAAAGGAAATACAACAAATAAGAAAGAAAGAACAAAGATTATGGTGATATATGTTTCTAATGGGTATCTGTCCAAACAGTTAAAAAACAAAACATTGCAGTGCTTAGAGATAAACCTCAGGTTTCCACGTGTCACTCATAGTCTGTTCCTATGCTATTATAACTCTTAAAATTATTGAATTGAAATTACAGCTCATGTATAGGAAAAACTAGTTCATTCTTTTAAGTTGCCAAATTAGTTGAATCTGGCATGTTCTTAGGTCTTCAGGTCAAACAACCTATATGCAAAGAAAGCTGGAGAGGATAGCCAAATAGCCAAAGGTTATTTACTTGTCCACCATTTACCTCAAAGAGGAGTTGAAGGAGGTCACTTGCATATCATGAATAGCTCAATGGACATGTGATCCGTTTGCTCTGGGATGGATTTCTAGAGTTTAATACTTTATAGAACATCTATCAGGGTGGTTTGAAATGAATTTACTTTCCGTGTCCTCCATTAGCCAAGAGGGGCTCTCCAGTGGCTTCTGCTTGGCTTTTCCTATTATAATAGACTTAATCTTTGAGTCAGGGTTCAGGGGATGGTTTTATGAAAGTAAGCCCATCTGCCCTACCTATACATTTAAAAACTCGGGAAATTACCCTAGATCGCTGCCCCATGAAGCTTATTGACTCTGGCCAAAGCTTCAATTATGACCTGACACTCTTAAGTTCCTAACTGGTGCAAAACATAGTGGTCTGGCCATCAAAGAATTGGTTTCATCTCAGAGTCAAGGCCAATTGTAAATAGAAGTTTTGGGGACTTCCCTTTTACGTGGCATAGTTACCTGCCGAAACCACCAGAATCCTTTGTGGAGGAATGGGACAGAGTATGTACTTATACTTGTGCTATTAAAGCTGGTCAGGGGGCGCCTGGGTGGATCAGTGGGTTAAAGCCTCTACCTTCGGCTCAGGTCATGGTCTCAGGGTCCTTCTGGGATCGAGCCCTGCATCAGGCTCCCTGCTCAGCAGGGGCCTGCTTCCCCCTCTCTCTCTGCCTGCCTCTATGCTTACTAGTGATCTCTTTCTCTCTCTGTCAAATAAATAAATAAATAAAATCTTTTAAAAAGAAAAAGCTGGTGAGGAGCCTCTTAAGTCTGGAAATGGGTGAGGGGTTGCAAATCTAGTGAAGTTGGACCTCTACTCAGCAGTCGTTGAGTGCATTGATGATATAGAATTAATATGCAGTTGGATTATGCTGTTCACCAAATTTTGCTGCTCTCTACCTTCAGGGCATGTGATAAGTTGCACTTCCC